ATCTTTCTAAAATGAAGCTCTTAGTATTCCCTCCAGCCCGTGCCCCCTCCCCTGACTTCTCCATCAGATCAATAATACAACCATCAGTCCCTCCCCTCATGCCAGGGTACTAGGTGTAATCCTAGACTCCCATCTGTCCTTTCAGCCCCAAATTCAATCACTGTCCAAATCTTGTAGACTTCACCTCCACAACATCTCCAAGATACGCCTGTTCTTAACCTCTGAAACTACTAAGCAACTTATTCACTCCCTGGTTATATCTCGCCTTGACTATTGTAACTCCCTCCTTATTGGCCGACCTCATCGCAGGCTATCCCCTCTTCAGTCTAACATGAATACTGCTATCAGACTCATCCACCTTACCAACTGTTCCATATCTGCCACCCCTCTCTGCCAATCCCTCCACTGGCTTCCCATTGCCCAATGAATAAAATTCAAAACATTAACAATAACATTTAAAGCCATTTATAACTCTGCCCCAAATTACATCAACAATCTTGTCTCCAAATATCACCCAAACCATCCTCTCCACTCCTCCCATGACCTCCTGTTCTCTAGCTCCCTTGTCTCCTCCTCCGATGCTCTTCTCCAGGACTTCTCCAGACCCTCCCCTATCCTCTGGAACTCTCTACCCCAATCTATCTGACTATTGCCTACACTGCCCACTTTTAGGCGATCTCTGAAAACCCATCTCTTCAGGTAAGCCTATCCTGCCTTCAGCTAATAACCAAATCTTCTATTCCTCCTATCAGTTTTTTCCTTCTCAGTTATTACCTTTTGTACCACCAGAACTCTCCCTTTTAGATTGTAAGCTCCCAGGAGCAGGGTCCTACTAACCCCCTTGTATTGAACTGTATTGTTGCTTTATTGTCTCAATTTATATTGTAAAGTGCTGAGCAAACTCTTGGCGCTATATAAATCCTGTATAATAACAATAATAAAGTTCTGACAGGGTACAACTAGGCCCAGTGGGAAGCACAAGTGCCTGGCAACACTTACAGAGTTAGTAGCAGCAGTTCTGTAACTTGAGATGTTGCCAACAGCTTCTGCAAAGGGGAGCAGGAATGAGGCCTGGCCAAACTGAACCAATTGGGAGGCTTCTAATGGTGGAAATAACAAAATCCCTGCGCTTTCCCTACTCCTTTAGAACTTCACCCAAGATGGCCACAGAGGTCAAGAGGGGCTTTAGCATCCAACTGGACAGGTGTTCTCCTGGTGATCGCAGAAAATCATAGAGGAGCTAAGTTCCTCACAACTTCCTCCCCTTCTGCATTTCCACTCCGGTCGAGGGCCACCTACAGTGGGGAGTATAGGCCGCACCTGTCAACATGTAGATAACACATGCACATGGAAGTATTGGTGCATGCTTGAATCCTGCTGAATCCTGTAATAGATTTCTAAGGGAGGCTGTCCACAGCAACAATGTCATCTGAATGGGGAAATACTCTCCAAATGTATGCCTTTTGACAACAGATGGTCATGAGCATGAGCAGGGCCGTGGATAAGGTAGTAGCACCAGTCCTCCTGTATGGAGCCCAGGCCAGAAGGAGGGCCCAGGCTGTTGGGTGAATTGGATGTGGGCAGGGAGGGTGATCAGCATGATGGGGGGGGTGGCAGTTACTTGAACCGATTCCCTATATGACCCTCTTTGCAGCAGAGAGCCAGCTTCTTCTCTTCTCCCATCTGCTGGCTTTCAGCTGCTGCAGAGAGAGCCATACAGGGGTTCCAGCAATTGCTCCCCCACCTCACAAGTTTTGGATAAAGTGGAGAGGAATTAGAACACCTATCAGTTTTTATTGGCTCTGAGGAAGAGGTTATGTCCTTGAAACGTGTTAGCCAGTTGGTCATCCAGGGTTCCATCGTATGGACTCAGATGTTGTTTGGATCATACGTCTTGTTCAGTTTGACATGCCTGTGTTATTATGTCCATTGTGAGTATGATACCTATTTTTGTTTCTTTAATAAATTATTTTAAATGATAATGCACTAGGTTGGTGCGCCCTTTTTCTGTTTCTCCATTTGTATCCAGTTTTTATTGCTGTCTGTGCCTCCATTAGGAAGATTAAACATCTCTATTTGTTCTGTTTATTGTATCATTGAAAGTTAAAGAAATTCATGAATTTTGGGTTAACACCAGAACAGGTGAAGGAGGAAATCTTCCAGTGGGGACACTAGTTTTGGTGACACCCTGGGATTCCCTCACTATGGGACAAGAAGATAAGGGAACTCTCCCCAATGGGACAAAAAAAAAAATGGCAGGGGTTATGACCCTTCCTTACCCTTTCCAAAATAGTTCTAATTTAAGAATATGTAAATATTTGAATGTCCAGAGCCTGGCCATGGTTCTACTTTATTTCCATGTCTAAAACATTATAGATTTGCTTTAAAACTATGGCACAATTCCCACTGAACAAGGCTAGTTGACAGCTATGTAAATGTGTATTAGACGTTGAGTACATTTGGCACTCAATATTCTGTAGGAAACAAAAGACCGACTCTCCTAATTCATGTTCTCATTAGCCTCAAGTATTGATGCCCGCACATTATTTTACACTTGTTTTATACGCCCTGATTTTAGTTGCCCAAATTGTTAATTCGTACCGCACATCTTCTCCATCCTCAGAGCTGCCAGAATTTCCTTACATTTGTATTGCATTAAGTCCCATTATAAGAGATTAGGTTGCAAATCCCTTCATAAGGATAAGACAGCAAGTAGGAGCCTGGAAAGGAAAGCTCTTTTTATGCGTACGGCATCAAAGTGATCCCAATGCTCTGAAGACTCAGCCGCTCCTTCAACATTCACTGTCAGTTTTCTAAAATGTAGGCCTGACAGAAGCTGTAATAGATTCTTCCATTATTTGATTTGTGCTTCGTACAAGAAATATATTCAGTTTTCTTAAGAATATCAGAATTCTCTATGGGTTGGATCCAGAGGATGATTTGCTGGCACTAATAGCTATTTTTATACTAGAATAGCCCCAATTCTAACAGTTATAATTCTGGTATCAGAATGCTTCCACTGTGCGAGAAGAACAGCTGTGCACAATCCCTTTAAATGGGACATTTAAAGGGATTTTCCAAGTTGAGATACCGTATTTATGGCTTGCCATCTTCCAACATTTTGCAATGTGCTTTTTTTTGTTGTCTGTTTTAACTGTTTATTTTTTAACTTTATTTTTCCAATAGCAAACAGATGAGTGGTGGAATTTCAGTGGTGTTGATTTTGATGCAAAATCCTTGATTTACAATAGCTGGCTTTAAAATTTTGGCAAATCAGAAAATCTATTTTTTTTTATTATTAAGCTGCTTAGATGTCATTTGTTTGAATAAAAATAAAAATCTACTTTATTTATTGACAAAGTGTGCGTTTTTGGGGAAGTATATTTAGGGTAGGTTAGTTTTTTAATGTGGTGTTCTTTTTGTGTATGTTTTCTGTCTTTCTTCTTTATTTTTTAGCTTTTAATTGATATTCGTGGACTAGCACTTTAAATGTTTTATTTTACTTTTTTCACTGTCTGATTTCTTTCTGTGATAAAAAAACTAATATAATGGGGCTGATGAGCGGTCATTTGTTTGCACAAGAATACTAAAAGAGAGTTTCTATAACCCCTCAGGTTAGTAGCCAAGTAAAGTCCATTCAACTGTTAAAAACCATCAATACTATTTTTTTTTTTTGCTTTCCCTATGACTTCAAAGCATTTCCACAATATGGAGAAATTTAGATTTGATGTTTGCCTTCTGATTTTTGTAGATTTTTTGGTAAAGTGAAAACTCTTAATGTTGCTCTTTTTAAGTGTATAGCTGTAATTCTTAGTTGTGTTGTCCTCTGTATAGTTGGCAGACTAATACAGAGCACCCCCCACAGTACAGAGCACCCCCATAATACAGATTCCCCCCAAACTACAGGTACCCCCACTATACAGAGCTTCATCCTACAGTACAACACTCCCCCTACAATGTACAGAGCCTCCTAACAGTACAGAGATTCCCTCCACAGTACAGAGCACCCCCCCCCCCCCCACACACACACACACACACACATAGTACAGAACTCCCCTCCACAGTACACAGCCCATCTACAGTACAGAGCTCTCCCCACAATATAGAGCCCCCCACATTACAGAGTTCTACACACACTACAGGTCCCTCCACAGTACAGAGCTCCCCCTCTAAAGTACAGAGCTCCCCTCCACAGTACAGACCCCTTCCCCACACATAGTACAGAGCTCCTTTCCACAGTTCAGAGCCCTCCCACATTGTAAGGATCTCCCCTCCATAGTACACAACCCCCTAAGTAGTACAGAGCTCCCCTCCACAGTCCAGAGCCCCCCTCCCCACATAGTACAAAACCCTTCCCCCTGCCAATATAGTACAGAGCCCCCTCAACATTACAGAGCTCCCCTCCAAAGTACAGAGTCCCCCTACATAGTACAGAGCTCCCCTCCACAGTACAGTGAAGACTGCAGGAAAAGCAGAGAAGTTGGTGTGGCTCAGCTCACCAGAGCCTTTTCAAGAGGGAAACACAGAAGCTGGCAGAGGAAGTGAGCAGAGCAGAAAGCTTCCTCACTGGCTTCTGTGTTTAACAATGGCAAGTTGTAGAGGACAGGGCAGTGCCAGAGGTGGTAGGGAGTTCTGACACATTCTGGCTGAAAAAAAAGTCCTGCTTTGAATCATCAAAGCAATCTGCACTCCTTCACCATTTTATTTTTATGTTTTGAGTCACATTCTGGGTACTCATTGAAGGGAAGCCTTGCCTCATGTGAGCAGCCTAACCTAAGACAGTGAGATTGTTACATGGCTGTATTTTTTTAATTTTTTCAAACAAATAGGTGTTGAAGTCCCACCACCTCTTAGATATGCCTGTTTTGAGATTTTATTGCTGTCCCTGCTGAAGAGCCTCTTAATTTCTACTTGTCCTGGAAACCGCTGTCATATGGGACAGAATGTCACTGAAAATGTAAAATGTTGCAGTTGTCACCGGACACGAGGGTAGGAATGATCTACCAATGGCAGGGGTGGACTAACCATTTGGAAACTTGGGCATTGCCCGAGGGCCCTGGGTCAGTAGGGGTCCCCATGAGATGCCCCTGGTACCTTTTTCATAGGCTTTTTTGAGTTTGGGCAAGGACACAGGGGCCCCACGATCCCCTACTGCCTGGGGGCCCCATGAGTTGTCAGTCTGCCCCTGACCAATGGACACCTAATCACATTGGAAATATTTCCTTCAACTTGGTTTTGTTTCTCCAGGACAGGATGAAAAAAGAAACCTCCTTAAAAGGAAACAGACAGGGAAAAAAAAAAAACTTGCAGGGATTTTATTTATTTTGTTATTTATTACAGGTACATGTATAGTGCTGTCAATTTATGTAGCGCTTTACACATATAATTGTACTTTCACATGAGTCCCTGTTCTCAGGGAGCTTCCTATCTAAGGTCCCAAACTCATACTCATACAGTCAGGTCCATAAATATTGGGATATCGACACATTTCTAACATTTTTGGCTCTATACACCACCACAATGGATTTGAAATGAAACAAACAAGATGTGCTTTAACTGCAGACTGTCAGCTTTAATTTGAGGGTATTTACATCCAAATCAGGTGAACGGTGTAGGAATTACAACAGTTTGCATATGTGCCTCCCACTTGTGAAGGGACCAAAAGTAATGGGACAATTGGCTTCTCAGCTGTTCCATGGCCAGGTGTGTGTTATTCCCTTATTATCCCAATTACAATGAGCAGATAAAAGGTCCAGAGTTCATTTCAAGTGTGCTATTTGCATTTGGAATCTGTTGCTGTCAACTCTCAGATGAGATCCAAAGAGCTGTCACTATCAGTGAAGCAAGCCATCATTAGGCTGAAAAACCAAAATAAAACCATCAGAGAGATAGCAAAAACATTAGGCGTGGCCAAAACAACTGTTTGGAACATTCTTAAAAAGAAGGAGCGCACCAGTGAGCTCAGCAACACCAAAAGACCCGGAAGAGACCACGGAAAACAACTGTGGTGGATGACCAAAGAATTCTTTCCCTGGTGAAGAAATTTAATTTCAAATCCATTGTGGTGGTGTATAGAGCCAAAAATGTTAGAATTGTGTCGATGTCCCAATATTTATGGACCTGACTGTACATACTAGGTCCAATTTAGGCAGGAGCCAATTAGCCTACAATTTTAACCATTTAACAAAAGTTTAGACTAGAAATGCATTTGGAAAACATTTACAGTTTTATGTGTGAGCAAAAATACCAGCGCATTGCCTTTTATATTTACGTGTTCTGACCTTTAATGTACAGTAGATGAGAAAGACACTTTCTATTCTGTTATGTATTAGAACATTTTGGTGTGGTATTGGATAGGATAGCTTTTACAGAACCTGTTCACAATGTTTCGGAAGGGAAGAACTATCACCAGTTGCTGGCCTGCTTCTGAACAATGCTAGTTGCATGACAGCCTAATTGGTCCTTAGGCTTTGGTACTTTCACTGTTACAGCACAAGAATGCAGATAAAAAAAACGTAAGCTTCACCTGAGATTTCTTAATCTACATGCTTTTCTTAGATCAGGGACGCCGGCACTTTTCAGGAAGGTCATCAATAGTTTACTCTATAAAACTCGAAGTAGAGGGTAGATCATGATGATTGATACCTATGCTTATGCCACAACAAACTTTTTTTTAAAAGAAACCGTGACTTTAATTGCATACATTGAATGGGTGTCATTGAAATAAATGGGTTTTGGCTTGTCATGCGACTTTATGTGTCATAAGTCGCATGCCAAGTCACACTAGTGTGAACCAAGCATTAGCCCCAAACCAACTTCCCCTTTATAGGTTATTTCTCTGCATTTTTTTACTTTACCATGGTTCCTGTAGCAAGAAACAGCTTTTATTAGTCCCTGTACTGTCTTCACTAGGCTTGTACTTTTCTTACAGGTGCAGCTGCTGGGAGCTCAGTTCCTATTGATGTAGATTTTCCCCCAGAACTACATCTCCCAGGAGTCCCATTCCTGTTCACAGTGTGGAGAGATTCTTGGAAATTTAAGTGAAAGTTCAGTTAACTATACTTAAATTTACTCCCACTCCCATTCTAAGTCTATTCTATCTACCCTGTGAATGGAAATGTGTATATTCATCTATTATGAGGGCACTCCGCTCTGGTCACATGATCGGGTCACAGTGCTGGTCTCAGTGTAGAGGATGGACAGCAGTTGCCCCATAGTAAGCCTATGGGTGAAGTCATCACCCAAGGTCTGCAGCCTTTGTCTTCTCTCTCCTCTTCACTAAAGCCGATGCTGGGACCTGATCATGTAACTGGACTGGAGCACCCTCAGAATAGGTAAGTATATATCTTTCCCTTACTCCGTAGAAATAATAGGTTTACAATGGAGGTGGGAATAGATGTATAGCTAGTGTTTGACTGAAATTCCACTTTAAAAGGGTTGTATAGGCTGAAGGTTTTTTTACCTTCATACATTCTATGCATGAAGGTAAAAACCTTCTGTGTACTGCTCCACCCCACAGACCTCTGCCCCCCCCCCCCAATACTCCCCTGAGGCCCTTCTCGATCCAACACTGCGCATGGGAGCCTCAGCTGTCCCAGGACTCCCTCTCTTCACTGGCTACTGTCAATCACAGCCAGTGAGCCAATGAGGAGAGAGTGGGTGATGAGGGAAGGGCAGATCAGTGATGCGGCTCTGTGTCTTATGGACATTTAAAACAGGGCTCAGGAGCAAGCATGCACCATGTCCCCCATAGCAAGCAAATTGATATTGGGGACACTAGTCAAAGGGGAGGGGCCAGGATAACCAGCAGGGAACCCAATAAGAAGAGGCTAGGGGCTGCTCTGTGCAAAACCACTACACAGAGCCATTAAGTATGACATGTTTATTATTTTTTCTTTTTTAAATTCGAACCACTTTAAGACAGCAGCTATATTTTGATGAGAAGGAGATACATGTATATGAAGTGGGACATAGAGCAGTGGGTATAGTCAGAATGCTGTAGTCCAGTAGGTACAGTAGCTGGCATAGCTTGTTGAGATTTCAGTGCAGCAGAAGCATTGTATTGTCAGCCTGATAGGAGAACACTGGATTTCTGGCATATCAACAAGTATTTTTGGTACCTTTTTAAAGAGATAAATCAACAAAATTAAACTGGGAAACCAACAACCAAAGAGGTTCTGTTGTGAACCTGTACAGAGTAATAGCTCACATACCAAGATTGGACAGTGGTGGATGGGTTCATTTGGGAGACTGGAATAGCCAAGTCTGGATAGTCATTGCTAAATTAAAATCTGGGTTCATGGATCTGCTCATCTCTAAATGTAAATAAAATACCACTTTGGCTACTTGTAGTTAAATGTATACATGATGAATATGTAATCTCATTGATATGCTTAATATTACTTTGAATGTCCCTTTTCATACTTGGTGCCTCTTCTCTCTGCAGGTGCTGTGTGCTAATATATCAGGTGTTGGAAAAAGTGGAAGTTTAAAACCAGGAGGATCCATATCCACACTTAAACATATATGGACAGAAAGTAGCAAGGACTTGTCTATAAGTCGACTCCTTTCACAGACTTTTCATGGCAAAGATAACCAAACCTCCTTGGATATGAGATATGACACTCCAGAACCGTACACAGAACAAGAGCTCTGGGAATGGCTGAGGAACTCAACAGACCTGCAAGGACCTCGTTCAAGGTCCAAAAGAAGGCCAATTGTGAAGACGGGCAAGTTCAAGAAAATGTTCGGCTGGGGGGATTTCCATTCCAACATCAAAACAGTGAAGCTAAATTTGTTGATAACAGGGAAAATTGTAGATCATGGCAACGGAACCTTCAGCGTTTACTTCCGACACAATTCAACTGGTCAGGGGAATGTATCTGTCAGCTTGGTCCCACCGACCAAAATAGTGGAATTTGACCTGGCCCAGCAAACGGTGATTGATGCTAAAGATTCCAAATCCTTCAACTGTCGCATTGAGTATGAGAAGGTTGACAAGGCCACCAAGAACACTCTTTGCAACTATGATCCTTCAAAAACTTGCTATCAGGAACAGACCCAAAGCCATGTGTCTTGGTTATGCTCCAAACCCTTCAAAGTGATCTGTATTTATATTTCATTTTATAGTACAGATTATAAACTAGTACAAAAGGTGTGTCCTGATTATAACTACCACAGTGATACGCCCTATTTCCCTTCTGGTTGACAATAATATGTATGCAAGACTTACCTCTAAGGAATTAATAAAAGTACCGGGCTGGATCCTTAAACCAAGAAAGTCCCATCAATTGCCTGGAATGTGTCTACAAATGATTTAACTCTACATTAAAACGAAAAATACTTTTATATTGGAAAATTTATCAGATGCAATTTAATATCCCCAAATCACTCCATATTTCATTTACTAGATGTAACCCTCTGTGGATATAAAGCAAAATGCATATTGTAAGTGGTCGCTTTTGAAGATCCTTGTTAAGAGAGATTTCATTGTCCAACCCATAACATTTTGTGACAGATCTACAAGGAACCAAAAGGATTAGCCATGCTTAAAGCTTTCTTATATCTTCATAGTATGGAGATGTTACTCTGTTGTGCTACGCTCCAGTATACATGGCTTATACCTATCTCTGGAGATACTCTAAGCGGAAAATAAAATATCTTAGGAAAGTATACTGAAAAAAAAAACAAAACAGCTAAAGTGTGTGATAATCGTGGAAAGCTTACAAAGGTCATTATCGAGAACCCAACAAATGCAACTCTAAAAAAAGGCACATTGATGATAGTGAATGATGGGTATCCGATAGTTAAAGATGGAGAGCCGTTTAAAATTAACATGCTGGAATACATAAACATGAGACACTTAAAGGAATGCTCTAACCAGCTGTAGACTCCAGTCTAGTTATTTTGATCATGGAAGCAAGACTTAAGTCAAGAGTTGGGTCTCCATGGTTTAACAGTCACAAATCTCTTCTTTAACAGTCTGTGATTGACTGTATTTAACTGTTAAGAAGAGAGTTTTGGCAATTGTACCATGCAGATGTTTGTTAAGAAATAGCTTGCATCGATTTCCAGAGACAGCTTAGCTGGATCTAAAAGGTATATTGTTGTGAGGACCACCCTCACAAAATCCTTGAATTTCCAAAGATAGGTTAATTAAAGGCTAGGTTCATTCTAAACAGATATTTCTGTTTTGGTTGCACACATTGCTTGCTGGTTTCTTTTATTTCATAAGGACTCCTATTGATATCTCTTGTGAAAAAAATATGGCACAGCGCATGATGGGGCAGATGATTGGACCTAGAAATCTAGTTATGGAAACATTACAATGGGAGTTCTCATGATATAAAAGCAAATCACTGAACATATCACACCTATGACTAGAACTAAAAAATCAGTCTTAAGAGGACTGATCCTCTGTTTAAAGAAGCAAAAGCCTTCTTGTGGACACCATGTAAATTGCAAATGGTGGAAATCTTTATGAAAATCTATTGTATACTTCAATATCCTAGTCTACATTTGTATGAATGGTTTGTATTGTATATAGTTTAACCAGTGTTACTTGAGCAGCTTATTAATATAACTAGTAAATGTTTCTGCTTGTTATTGGTTCAATACAATCAAAGGACTATGACGAGTTCATGTTAATTGACTTAGCTGTAAACTTCATGAATACAAAACAAAGGACATAATTATGTACAAAGCATTTATTCCGCTAAAGTATTGTTGAAAAGCTGAACATATACCACATTGAAGTCTGTATGCATTTAGATATTTTATTTCTGGAAAAAAAATTGTATATAAAATAAAATTACATAAAGTTGAGTTTAAATATTTTAATGTGGTCGTTTAGTCTTTGGTCAAGATATGAGAAAGGAAAAAAAAAGCAAGCAAGATACTGGAGCAAACATAAGAAATGGTAAAGGGGTTGTGTGAGCAAAACATACATTCGTTCACAAGGAAGTGCTAAGGATTATCATGAAAGTTGAGTAATATTGTGCACTTCAGCCAGAAGGAACAATTCACTCAGCCGGTGAAGGAGCTTTTTAGGCCAGTTCTGCTCTCCTGTAACTGGTAGGCTCCCTTTAATAATGTTAACTGAAGATTCCCTCAAGTTAATTTGGATTTATATTCGAGACTCAGTTTTTTTCAGTCAAATAAATCTGAAATATTGCATCTTGAAGTGTTAACTAACCCTCATTTTTTTTTTACTTTTGTATAGAGTAGGGAAGGATGAGAACTCCTGTACTTGTCCATATCCTCTCTATTTGTTCTGTTGACCACCTGGAATGAAAGTAAAGGAATATTAAAAATTTTGAGTTTCCACCAGAGCAAGAATAAAAGGGAACCCTTCCAGTTGGGACAACTGTTTAATAGATGGTCTACCTTTTTGTCTACAGGCAGGAAGTTGAGAGAAATCTGTTGAACTGGGACAAAAGAGAGGTAGAGGTTTTAACCATGCAAACTATGAGAGGTCGACATCATATTTTGTCTTATCACCTTTTTACTGACAGTTACACAACAATGATAATACAGGCCAACACACATTTTGGTTCCTCGAATGTTAGGCCTGTGTATTTTACCCACTGATTAAAAACATGGCACCAATGTTTCCCTGTTAGCTCTAGTTTTTGAGGTACAGCATAAATGCCATATACTGCTTGTACAAAATCAGGATATTTTAAAGTATGTTTTTTTTTATCTCCTTATAGCATGAAAGAAACAGATACAAAAGAAGCCATGACCTTTACGGCGCTCAATCTGCAAAAATGAAACAATATGAGTGGCAATATAAACATACCTCCTATATGATCATGCCGATAATACAGTTGATAACTTACACTTTAGTATCCAATGTTTCTGATATAAATTTACAGTTGGAAGCATGTAAACACTCTCTATATCTGCTAACATGTGTGCAAAAACGCACACTAGGTAACAGAAGAACAAGTTCATCAGCAAGATTGAGCAAAACTGACTAAAAAATTATATAAATATTACCATATCCAAGAAACTAGAGATGATGCAGTCTAGCCAATACAATTTTCTGAATCACAGCCCCAAATAACCCCAAGAACAGATCCAAAAAAAGGCATCAAGAGAAAAAAAAATTTGTTGGGCTGTGTATTAAAATTGCAACACTTTCAACCTAAACTCACCTCACAGAGAATGACTCCCGGAAGCAGCCAGTTGGAGTACAAGGAGTACAACAGAGTACAATGTTTGTTGGACTGTGTAATGAAATTGCAACCCTTTCAACCTATACTCACCTCACAGGGAATGACTCCAGGAAGCAGCCAAATAGAGTACATTGTCCCAATCCTCTTCCTTTAGTGAAACTTCCAGGCTACATCCAATCTCAGGTAGGATCCTTGGCTTGTAGTGGTTTAGAAGAAGATGGGAACCAGTAATTTTAGAATATTTAAAAGGTTTATTACAGGTGTTTTGAGGAATCATGGTAAAAAGTATGAGGGTCACAATGTACTCAAATAAAAGTCAACGGTTTCAAATTCAGCTTCTGTAGCTGTAACACTTGCATTAATTTTTTAACTAGGCCCCAGACACTCCTAAGGTAGCAGATCAAAGTCAAGGTTTTTGTGTTTGATTGACTATCTTAGCCTAAATTGCACGACACCAGAGAGGTTCTAGTGTTTTCCTTTCCTTTAAAGTCCATTCATCCTAACATAAATGGGCAGCTGCGGCTGCCTCCCTCTTCGTTGCAATAGATCAAAATACAGGTTGTTTCAACTCTTCAGGGTAGCCCCCCTTAAAGGGAGAGCACCCAGACAAAACCCTTTTGAGCAGAAACCTAGGAGAAAAGAAGAGGAGAGAATGCTAGAAGGTTGTCCAAAATATGTTTCACCTTCCAAAATCATACCACTTTTCTGTAATCAGTTGGGCTGATAATTATTTACAGGTAATAGAGCATGCTTAGCAGCAGTTAGCAGAAGCAATTTACACCATGAGCTTAGGAACTTTAGCAGAGCTTCTAAAATAAAAAGGGTCACACACAGGGGCGGACTGACAACTCATGGGGCCCCCGGGCAATAGGGGATCATGGGGCCCTTGTGTCCTTGCCCAAACTCAAAAAAGCCTATGAAAAAGGTACCAGGGGCATCCCCATTAGTCAATCATTTATTTATTACAGGTACTTATATAGTGCTGTCAATTTATACAGTGCTTTACATACAGTATATATTGCGCCTTCACATAAGTCCCTGCCCTCAAGGAAGCTTACAATCTACAGTACTCGAACCAAGTTAGATGAGAGCCAATTAACCTACCAGCATGTCTTTGAAGTGTGAGAGGAAATTGGAGTACCCAGAGGAAAGTCACGCAAGCACAGGGAGAACATGCAAACTCCACGCAGGTAGTGCCGTGGTTGAGATTCGAACCAACAACAATTAGCCACTGTACCGGCCGCCATTTAAACATAGATAGTGGTATGTGGTACTGCTGTATATGTAAAGCCAGTTAAAAACGTATTCTTGTTTCTTCCAGTCCGTCTTTACATGCCCTAATAACTCTTGACAATCTATGGTCAACACAAGCTGAAGGACTACCAGGGGTGGTACAAAGTCATGTTACTGACCATCAGTAATGCATTCCTAGGTATAACAAAAAGGTATGTTCTAGACTGCCACCCTGTATTCCAATGCAATTGGACTGCCCTTGGTCCATATATTCAACTTCCAACTACTAGAACTATAGAGCAAAAGTTTGTCTTATTATTCTTGCAATTATTTCTGAGCATATCTGCACAGATTATGCAAACTGATACTTCTAACCTTTGGGCACCAAATGTTGTGTGTCTACAATTATGAAAACCTGGCCCTGTTTATCTGGTGTTAATTAGTTGAGAAGATTTGATTAGATTGGAGAGGCCCTGGAACTAGTGTTGCTTTTAAATGGAGTCCATATAGGGCAGTCTTTCATTTTCAGGAATACAATGATTTTAGCTTAGCTGCTTTTAGTCTGAAGATAGGAGGAATCCATGGCGTTCAGTGGCATTCTACAACTGGGACTGATAAACTTGTTTTATACTTCCTTCTTGAAAGTGTTTTTATTCCTTGTGCCTAATACATCTCCATTCATATTGCACTTATAAGTCTCTCTTCTTGTATCTTGCTTTTAGCTTGAACATAGCTCAAAAAAAAAAAAAAAAAAAAATAAGATCAGGACCAGGGGCGGACTGACAGCTCATGGGGCCCCCGGAAAAAGGGGATCATGAGGCCCCTGTGTCCTTGCCCAAACTCAAAAAAGCCTATGAAAAAGGTACCAGGGGCATCTCATGGGGCCCCCTACTGACCCCGGGCCCTCGGGCAGTGCCTGAGTTTCCAAATGGTCAGTCCGCCCCTGATCAGGACTCAGGCAGGTGAACAACTCAGGCAGGTGAACAAAATAGTCTAGGAAAAGGTTAGGTGAATTTTAATTGAAATGACTGTCTCTGGCAGCCAGTAGTTAAAGTCTTTTGCCAGAAACAGGCATTTTATTTGTAGCCCACCTTCTGGCCCTTTAAGCTGCACGGCAGCACATCTTCTTCTGCAAATTATTGCTGTCTCCCTGGACTTAACATGCAGCCTACAGGGAAGGAAGGAGGCACTTTATGGCTACAACGACTTTTAGCATGCCCACCAGTGACAGTAGAAATGAGGAGAGCCACATGGAATTTGGCAGCTGGGATGCTGGACTGCTACAGTGCCAAAGTGTCAGGTGCCCAGAGTGACATTCTGCCAGGCTGTACACAGGGCATCACTGTGAGCTGTGTGGGAAGCTGCTGCAGGAGTAACGGTAGTGCTGTATAGGGTTGCTGTGCTGTGCCTGCCCATAGACTGAGTTGCCACCATGTACAGTGGTGAAGAGCAGAGACTGTCTCTGTTTGTACTGTTCTAGACTGTGGCTGAGGACTCAGAGAGAGAGAGAGAGAGAAATTGAGAGAGACTGCTGATGAGGACTTCAGATATGAGGAGAGCCAGGGTTCCATCCAGCCCAGCCTTGAGGGAAGAAGCCCTGGGTGTATGGCATGACCTCTTGCTAATCCTCATATAGGATGCTTTGGGTTTTTCATCTGTGGTGAGCCCTTTGGCCACCTGTATTGATACTGACTTTTCCACTGTTATTTTTGCTGCCCCATGGACAATAGGCCTTGAACCATTTAATATTTTCCCCTAACACTCTTTTTAGAGAGAGAGTGAGCCCATTCATGGAAGATCCAGGGCCTCAACACTGGCAGACTTTACTGTATTTAGACTTACTAGGCAGTGGCATAAGTAGCCCACCCCATTTTATTTTCTTAGATAAGCCATCTTGTTAGCATTGGTGTTCTTTATAGTAGACTTGTACATTGTTTTTCATGCCACAATTGTGTTTGGTTCTAAAGTCATTATTATGTGGTATTGCTTTTAATAAAACCCATTTTAAGTGTTTTAAACAGTTAGAGTTCATCGCTGGAAAAAAAAAACAGAAGGACCCATCTGACCAGCAGCTTCTTTACACCTCTTTGGGCTTTGTGTTTTATGGTGTAGCAGTTTCATTTTATCCCTTGTATCCACAATGTGAAGATCGCCCTTACTTCCCATACCAGAAACAAGAAAGGATATTAGAAAATGTTATTCACAAAAAGAACATTGGGGAACTGGAGAAAGTACAGAAAAGAGCAACCAAACCGATAAGAGGCATGGAGGAGCTCAGCTATGAGGAAAGATTAGAGGAACTGAATTTATTCTCTCTTGAAAAGAGGAGATTAAGGAGATATGGAGATATGATCTCCATGTATAATACATAAGGGGGGATATGATCTCCATCTATAATACATAAGGGGGGATATGATCTCCATGTATAATACATGAGGGGGGATATAATCAACATGTATAATACATAAGGGGGGATATGATCAACATGTATAATACATAAGGGGGGATATGATCTCCATGTATAATACATAAGGGGGATATGATCTCCATGTATAATACATAAGGGGGATATGATCTCCATGTATAATACATATGGAGGGGATATGATCTCCATGTATAATACATAAGGGGGATATGATCACTATGTATAATACATAAGGGGGGATATGATCACCATGTATAATACATAAGGGGGGATATGATCTCCATGTATAATACATAACGGGGGATATGATCTCCATGTATAATACATAAGGGGGGATATGATCTCCATGTATATAATTACATAAGGGGGGATATGATCTCCATGTATAATACATAAGAGGGATATGATCTCCATGTATAATACATAAGGGGGATATGATCTCCATGTATAATACATAAGGGGGGATATGATCTCCATGTATAATACATAAGGGGGGATATGATCTCCATGTATAATACATAAGGGGGGATATGATCTCCATCTATAATACATAAGGGGGATATGATCTCCATGTATAATACATAAGAGGGATATGATCTCCATGTATAATACATAAGGGGGGGATATGATCACCATGTGTAATACATAAGGGGGGGGGATATGATCACCATGTATAATACATAAGGGGGGGATATGATCTCCATGTATAATACATAAGGGGGGATATGATCTCCATGTATAATACATAAGGGGGGATATGATCTCCATGTATAATACATAAGGGGGGATGTGATCTCCATGTATAATACATAAGGGGGGATATGATCTCCATGTATAATACATAAGGGGGGATATGATCTCCATGTATAATACATAAGGGGAGATATGATCTCCATCTATAATACATAAGGGGGGATATGATCTCCATGTATAATACATAAGGGGGGATATGATCTCCATGTATAATACATAAGGGGGGATATGATCACCATGTATAATACATAAGGGGGATATGATCTCCATGTATAATACATAAGGGGGATATGATCACCATGTATAATACATAAGGGGGGATATGATCACCATGTATAATACATAAGGGGGGATATGATCTCCATGTATAATACATAAGGTGGGATATGATCTCCATGTATAATACATAAGGTGGGATATGATCTCCATGTATAATACATAAGGGGGGGATATGATCTCCATGTATAATACATAAGGGGGATATGATCTCCATGTATAATACATAAGGGGGGATATGATCTCCATGTAATACATAAGGGGGATATGATCTCCATGTATAATACATAAGGGGGGATATGATCTCCATGTATAATACATAAGGGGGGATATGATCTCCATGTATAATACATAAGGGGGGATATGATCACCATGTATAATACATAAGGGAGGATATGATCTCCATGTATAATACATAAGGGGGGGATATGATCTCCATGTATAATACATAAGGGGGGGATATGATCTCCATGTATAATACATAAGGGGGGATATGATCTCCATGTATAATACAAAGGGGGGATATGATCTCCATGTATAATACATAAGGGGGGATATGATCTCCATGTATAATACATAAGGGGGGGGATATGATCTCCATGTATAATACATAAGGGGGGATATGATCTCCATGTATAATACATAAGGGGGATATGATCTCCATGTATAATACATAAGGGGGGATATGATCTCCATGTATAATACATAAGGGGGGATATGATCTCCATGTATAATACATAAGGGGGGATATGATCGCCATGTATAATACATAAGGGGGGTATGATCTCCATGTATAATACATAAGGAGGGATATTATCTCCATGTATAATACATAAGGGGGGATATGATCTCCATGTATAATACATAAGGGGGATATGATCTCCATGTATAATACATAAGGGGGGATATGATCTCCATGTATAATACATACATAAGGGGGGATATGATCTCCATGTATAATACATAAGGGGGGATATGATCTCCATGTATAATACATAAGGGGGGATATGATCTCCATGTATAATACATAAGGGGGGATATGATCTCCATGTATAAATACATCAGTGGTTCATATAGTGAACCGGTGTAGAGTTATTCACCCTGAGGTCATCACAGAGGACAAGGGGGCACTCTTTACATCTGGAGGAAAAGAAATTTAATCTCCAAACACGGAAAGGTTTCTTCATAGTAAGAGCTGTGAAAATGTGGAATAGACTTCCTCAAGAGTTAGTTCTGGCCAGCTCAGTGGATTGCTTTAAAAAAGTCCTGGATTCTTTCCTAGATACACAGAATATACCTGAATATAACATTTATAGGCAAAATTGGTCCAGGGAATATCCGATTGCCTCTTGGGGGATCAGGAAGGAATTTTTTTCCCTGCAGGAGCAAATTGGATTATGCTTTGCTGGGTTTTTTTTTTCCT